ATGAGAAAACATAGTGATCAATGTAAGAACTGAAGTACTATCAAATCATTAAGATGATTAAACGAATGTGATAATCCTTTAAGAAGATGTAAGAAAAGAGCATTTATGTTTCACCATATTAAGTGATAATCTATCAAGTGCAAAATGATATGTGAACATATATCCATCTAAAGTGGTCAAGTGCCGATGCACTCGATAGATTATCTAACTGCATATTTCATAATGTTTTTAATACTAATACTTCTAAAATAAAATTTACAAAAAATGTAAAAATGTGAATATTCAAAACATCTAGCTCACTCTACCTCTTTGTTTACTATGTAATTAAGGCCAACAGGAATTATCGTGAATTAAATGCTCAAGTTCTTGATTTCCTTATTCGCACTATCTCTGTTGCTATAAAAACTTGAATTATAACACAAACAACAAAGAGGATTGTTGATAATTACTATTTTATTATTGATTGTATGATGCTAAAGCCATAATTTCCCATACTAAGAGATCTTATAGTTATGCAGAAGATCGTATATTCAAGTTCTTTAGGATTTCCTTAAGGTAAAGTTGCTATCAAGTTAAAAGATATTTTAAATGAAGAGAGATATGAAAAGATACTTGAAATGACTCCTAATGAAGGCATGTAAGTAGTGTATTTCTTTTTTTTTTTCTCTTCCATGCTTTCTTCGTTTCACATTTTATTGATGGTTTATGGACTATAGGTTCTATCTCTACAGTTGTTACATCAGAGTTTGGGGAGAATTAAACATCTTATCAATAGTGCATTAATGTTTTTTATTTTAGAGTAATCTTGATGAAATTATAAGTTCAATTGCCAGATAAATTTGTTTTAGGTCTTATTCATTCACATGTTAAAATTAGGGGTATGCAAATTGCTTTTTGCATTTATTTAACTAAATTAATTGAATTTTTTCAATTCAAAATCTTACAAAATTTAACTATATAAATCAGTTAACCACATAGAATATAATAAACTATTAATTAATCAGTGAGAAGTACTTGTGTAAATTAGCGCAATTTCGTCATAGACCTCTTCAATTATGAATTTTTCTATTAAAGACCTAATTTCTATTGAGCTTTACAAGTCTTGTAAAATTTATCCATTTTTGATAAATTTCACAGTTAGAAAATGTATATAGAAAAAAAAGAGAAAAGAAAATAAGTGTCTATTTGTAAGGGAGAGAGAGTTGATGAGTGTTTATTGTGAGAAAAGAAGTTTAGTTCTACTTCGATACAAAGAGTCTTATTTAAATTTGATTGACCTTAACCCTTATTTGCCTAGTACTATGTTGTCTCTTTTGTAGAAGTTCAAGGATGTGTTTTTAGAGGATATACTAGATGGGTTACCACCATTACGAGAATCGAGCATCAAATTGATTTTGTCCCTAGTTCCTCCATTCCCAACTGATCAACCTACCGAAGCAATCCTAAGGAGACAAAGGAGTTTCAGAGGAAAGTGGAGGAATTGTTAGAGAAGGGTCATCTTCGTGAAAGCTTGAGTCCTTGTGTTATTCCAACCCAGTTGGTACGAAAGAATGATCGGTCATGGAGGATATATGTAGATTGCCTAACTATGAATAAAATAACGATCAAGTATAGACACTCCCTAGACTCGATGACATGCTCGATGAGTTGAGTGGAGCAAACATCTTTAACAAGATGAATTGGAAGAGTGGCTATCATCACATCCAAATAAAGCCTTGTGATGAGTGGAAGATCGCCTTCAAAGCTAAATAAGGTTTGTATGAGTGGTTAGTTATGCCTTTTGGCTTGACTAGTACTTCTATGTGATTAATGAACCATATTTTACGATCGTATCTTGGTAAGTTTGTAATTGTTTACTTTGATGATATTCTGATATATAATAAATCATTAAATGATCATCTTGAGCATATTGGAACTGCCCTAGAAACTTTAAAAAAGGAAAACTATATGCAAATCTTAAAAAATATATTTTTTACAGAGATAAACTAGTATTTTTAGAGTTTGTTATCAGCACACAAAGTATTAAAATAGATAAAGAGAAAGTAAAAGTCATTAAAGATTGGCCCACACCTAAATAACAAATGAAATGAGAAGTTTCCATAGGTTGACCAGTTTCTACAAATGGTTTGTAAAAGATTTCAATTCTATAACTGCATTTTTGAATGAACTTGTGAAAAAAGATTTAAAATTTATATGGACTAATAAACAAGCAGAAGCTTTTACTTTATTTAAAGAAAAATTAGGCACTGCTCCTATTCTAGCATTACCTAGCTTTGATATTTCTATGAACTTTCTTTTAGGTGTGCTAAGGACTAGGCGAGGAAGAGACAATGTATTTGTTGTGGTGGATAAGTTCAGCAAGATGACACACTTCATAGCATGTCATAAAATAGATGACGCAACAAATATAACAAATTCATTCCTTAAAGATGTGCGCTTACATGGTATTCCCATTATTATTATTAATGATAGGGATGTTAAATTTCTTAGTAACTTTTGGTGTGTTTTGTGGAACAAGTTAAGGACTAAATTATTATTCTTTACTGCTTATCACCACAAATAGATGGGCAAACTAAAGCGGTAAATAAGACTTTAGGACCTCTACTATGTGCTGTTGTCGGAAAAAACTTTAAAATGTGGGAGGATTGTTTACCTTTAATAGAGTTTGCTTATAATAGGAGCATTCACTCTTCCGTATGTTTATCACCCTTTGAAATCGTGTAAGGATTTAATCCACTAACCACTTTCAACTTAACACTTTTGCCTTTACAAGAACTCATTAATATTGACGGACAACAAACAGCAAAATGTAACAACCCGAACTCTCATCTAAAGTACTAACTGTACGCACACTATAAAATGATAAAATAATCTATAAAAATATTTTGTGCAATAAATTTTAAATAATAAAAGTATATCTCTTGTAGACTTAGCTTAAAATATTCAATATTCATGAATTATGTCTAAATCTTGAAATAAATATTTACTACAAAATAAATAATTAACCTTAAGTATTATTCGAATGAAAATAAAATAAAATGATCTCCTAGCGAATATCTCACTATTCGGGAGTAGGAGTCTAATTATCCTGATATGAACAAAATAAATAATAAATAAGGTGAGTTTAATATATTTTGTAAGTTTGTAAGATCTACTTTTCTTTTTAATTCTAAAAACAAGTGGTACTTACACCTTATCTCATTCACCAAATCTTCTAAATCAATTTATTCAGTAAATTTTTAGAATTTATTATTCCGGTATCATAACTCAGATAAAAATAGTTCAATAAATATTAGAATTCAGTATTCAATATCACAATTTAAGCAGTAAGTAATCCAGTAAATATTAATTCAACATTTCAGTATTATAAACGTTATAAATGACTTCTTATTCATTCATCTTAGTTTATATCATGTTAAAAATAGTTTTATCACACGATATCATTTTTGCCGGTATCAATAAGGGCAGTAAGGATCCCCTCTATCATGTAGATACGTCATAGTTCACAATTCACAATTTACAGTATATAGTATATAGTTCATAGTTTCACAGTACTTATCGCTTCACTACATCTGACTAAAGTCATATCTATGGGTAGAGTTTATCACAGTCATACGCCAAAAGGCTACACACACATCATCTCTCGGTGATATTGATTAAATGAATTTTTTTTCCGTCTTTTAATATTCTTTCTTTAGTTTAGTTTACTAATAAATTTCTTAATCTTGTGATTTAATATTTCTTACACACCTAGTATCAATATTCATCACCTTAGACTCTTCCACGCACCCTTAAAATATTCACAGTTAATTTATAGCAACTAATACATATACGAATTTAGTTACAAAATATAGTAGAATAATTCATTAGTAACTTTAGTAGTAAACATGAATAAAAATACAAAAATCAATAATAAAATCTCATAGGAATCCTACATTTACTTATAATTTTTTAAAAAATTATTAATTATTAAACTCTATGGTTTTAATATCTTAAACAAATTAAACTACATTTGTAAGCACTTATATACTTACCTTGTAACACCCAACATTTATTATTTATTATTTTTATTTATTTATTTTTTAATAAATATAATTATTTATTAATTGTAACGGCCCCGAAAATTTAAATGAAATGTATATATTAAAAATCTCAAATGCGGAAGCGTAATAAAAATTTGATTAACATCCATTACACAATAATCAAAACGTACTCAAAACATGAAAGAACAAACTAACTAAAAAAGATACTCGAAATAAGAACTATAAATATAACTATGAAGTCTTTAGGTGTCCCCTTCGCCGTCTTCATGCGGAACGGGCTCGGGAACAACGTTTTCCTGATATGAAATTGTTAAATAAGGAATGAGCTACACCAGCCCAGTAAAGACATCACACTATCTCACCACCACGGAAGTAAAGGTGGGTAGAAAACAAAAATGACCAATGTAGTATAATTTATAACAAACTCGTTTATTAACATAAAAACCTTTACTGTCTACTTACCTCGGTGAGATCCATGAAAACAACATATGAAAGCAATAACATTATCATCATCATGAAATCATATAGACTTTATAACATAACACTTACCACA